TTATTATTATTATTATTATTATTATTATAATAATTATTATTATTATTATTATTATTATTATTATTATTATTATTATTATTATTATTATTATTATTATAATTAATATTATTATTATTATTATTATTAATATTATTATTATTATTATTATTATTATTATTATTATTATTACAGATTGACCAATGTACCAGTCATGATGCCGGGCTTCTTGAAAACAGCAAAACAAAACTCAATGGCAAATTCTATTCGTTTCAAAATCATCATTAATGAGTAATTTTATTAGTATTATTGTATAGTTAAGATGTTGCTCTTAACATAATGGCACTCAATGGCCTCACTCTTAAATCTATTGCGCCTTCTAACACTGTATCTTTAATACATTTTTGAGCAAAGCAGATGGAAGTTTAAATTATCGAAAACAGAAAATATTTTGTCTCAATCAAATTTTTCAATTATTTGTTTATTCCTCCATCAATTAAATATGGTTTGATAAAACCATAATAAATCCGCGCCTGCTGTATCAAGATTATTTCCAAGCGAGAATAAAGATGATTTTAGTGAAACCTAGAAGGAAAATGAGTTTGTATGCGGTGAGTCATTGACACGCAAGCGACAGGGAAAACACTCAAATTCCTCAAAAATCATATAAGTAGGCCTACAGTTTAAAATTCGTTGCTTGTACGACGAATTAGAGACAGTCCTAGCTGGAAACTGCTCTGATTTGTCAAGGAGATTTGGTGGATGAATTTCTGGAATGTGCGAGAGTGAGTTTTGAATTTTCTACCCTGGATCGAAAATTTTGAACTTTTTGGTAATTTTGGGCGGGGCCTGCTGTCGTATACGGGCCTGAGTCTACAATAACCATTAATAGAGACGATAGGTGTCACATTTGCGAGCTGTCGTGACAAGATGAGTCTTGTGGTACGCCAGGTCAATTTGATATATTAAAGAAAATATACATGAAGCAATATTTTGACAACAATTTTGTTTCAGTTTTTCTGATAAGTTTAATACGTATATTTCACAGTAGCAAAAGTTCCGAGTTGAGTTTTCCAAGGTAATCATGTTTTTGAGGTACATTTTTTAAAGCTAATTTTCAGAATTGATAGGAAAACCAACACAAAATGTATCAGTTGTTTATCTTTAGAGGCGATTTTCTCTTAAGTATGTATTTAGATGTCTGATATTAAAAATGATATTACTCTGGTTACTCAGCCTAAATACATGATTAAACAACCAAAATAAGGCTTATATAGTCATCTATCTAAATATATCAACAACTCATTTTTCGTACCACAAGACTCATTTTTTCACGACAGCTCACATTTTTTACTCAATGAGGAAAGACCACAAAAAAGAATATATAAATATTAATCACTGAGTGGATTAATTGTATCGTATAGGGGTGTGCCAACGTGTGGAGTCTTAACCATGGAAAATAAAGTTATCTTTTTTACTTCAACTAATCCAGCAACGGCATATATAAATACGACCAGAATATAATTTTTAAAAATGGGGAAAAAATCTAGTGCATGATTCTGGCAATTTCAAACCCATAAACAAACAACTAACACAAATTTCTATCAATAAAAATCATAATAAAATAATATGTGAGGTCTCACCACGAAATAAGATGCATCGTTAGTGAAATCATATTGAGATATTCACCAAAACAGGCCAAAGTCAACATTTTTACAAAATTTTGATTTTATTGTTTTTGAAAATCTTATTTATATTTTATGATTGTATACTTTGTAAGTGAATTTCTTGCCAATACAGTGTGTTACCTGCACATATTCTGTAATTCTAGTCATATTATTTGTACAGGTTAGTTTATCTTTGAGGCTGATTTTCTCAAAACATGGTTATTGTACACCTAAACTTTAAATGCTCACATCTCTGGATTTACTTATAATAGGGAAGCCATTCAAAGACCAAATGAAAGCTTGTAATGTGATCTACCCAAATATAATATAAACTCAATTTTTGAATTTCTAACCATGAGACTCATTTTGTGGCGAGACTTCACATATATTCCAGTTTAATTAAGAAATATATTTCAATACCAACTGCATCTGTGAATAAATGGGAAACAGAATTTGGAGATCGATGAGGTATTGAACTGGAAAACGATTTTTATGTGTCCCACAAAGTGTGCTCTAGATACAAGATTAAAACATTTCCAATTTAAATTTATTTATAGACGCATAGCAACAAATAACTTTCTTTTTAGGATTAAGATAATTAATTTACCAATCTGTAATTTTTGTAAAGTTGCTATACAAAACTTGTCACATTTATTCTATGAATGTACCATTGTGTCTTATTTCCTGGAGAAACTTGAATGTTTCTGCAACAGGAAGCATATATATTCCAACTGTTTCTCAAAAAAATGTATATTCTGCGTCAATAATAGTAATTATATTGTCAATAATGTGTTGCTTCTGGCAAAATTTTATATTTTTTGATGCAAAATTCAAAATGATATACCAAACATAAAAGCATTAAGCATGAATCTAGTAAAATATACGGAAAGGATTGAGGCTGTTGCCAGAAATAATGACAAATATAAGCTGCATTTAAAGAAATTGGAAAAGATAAATTAAGTTCTACCTAGGTCAAAGGCCTTATTGGTAATTGGTAATGGTCTTGTTTTGTATAGATTTCTTTTTCTTTTTAATTAATCTTATTGTTATGTTGCCGCTGCGTCGGCGTTGTTATGTTTGTTTTGTGTGTTATTTGGAATTGAAATAAATAAAAAATAAATTAATTTAAAAAAAAATTTAAAAAAATCTATCTAAATATATCAACAACTCATTTTTCATTTTTCGTACCACAAGACTCATTTTGTCAAGACAGCTTACATTTTCTACTCAATGAGGAAATTTAAGCCACTGAGTGGATTAATTGTATCGCATAGAGGTGTGTCAAGGTGTGGAGCCTTGACCACGGGAAATAAAGTTATCTTTTGTACTTCAACTAATCCAGCAACAGCATATATAAATGCGACCACGATATTAAATAACTTATCTTATCAACCTGTTTCCAAACATCAGTTTCTCTTTTGACTAGTGATCCTGAAACATGGTACACGTAACGCTATTGTGTAGCTGGCTATTTCTGCTCGTCAACCTTTCTGGTAAGAAAACCTACCTACTGTAAAGTAAGAAAGTTTGGTCTGGGGAATATTTTGGAAATTTTGGACTTTATTCGTAGAATGGGAGGAGTGACATTTATAAATTTCACATCGAGGGTCTTAGATTCCAGTCTGGCTGAAAGTATACCTTCTGTAATTATCGTTGAATTAGAATTTAAAAAGAATGTAAAAAATGAACGTGTATGCACCTACAATACACGGATTTCTTTAAGATATAACATCGTTTGTAGTAAAGATATCTAGAATTTTGTAACACTGCTGTTTTAAAGAATACAGGTGTAAAACTAAAACGGTTTTATAATTGCCTTCAACCATCAATAGTAAGATTACTTAACGAATAAATCTCATCCACTTAGCAGGAGTACCCTAACCTTTGCTCAGTCTGGAATCGTTTTTATGCAGTATCGAATCTTAATAAAGATTTTTGTAAATTGACTTTTTTGCTTTTTAATGTATTTTTTTATCTCAATTTTTTACTTCTTTCTTATTTACTAATTACTCAGCGTTCAATTCAGTTTATACTGTACTTTTTTTTAATAGACAGATTTGATGCTTTTTAAACAAAAGATACAGAGATATACAATTTAATTTTTTAAATTAATATGCGCATATGATATAAATATAGTGAAAAATTATACTAAAAACAGTTTTAATGGTTTTACACAAAATTATTAAATTAAATTGATTACCAGGTAATTTAAGAGTTAATTGAATAAATTGAACCTGCAAACGAATATTGAAATACTAATGTCCGTAAATAATTGAAACTTAATAATGTATATAAATATGCATTGTACCTCATTTTTATTTCAAAAGCCAGCAGTGATGTTTTCACTGCGACAACTTGGGAAGCACCGTTAGGATGGTGCCTCGCTAACACCGGTCAAGTGTTCACTGGAGATTTCAATGGAGATGGTCGCCAAGATATGCTTTGTCACAGTCCTAACAACGGCCACAAATGGATATACTATGCACGGTAAGGTTTTATTCCACACAATGTGTCCATACTCTAATACTGGTATCTGTAGCCGTAGTTATTCAGTGCAGTACAGTACACTCTCCTAAGCAGTCATCTGGCATCCAAATAACAGAATAACATACCAAAACATCAAAATGAACAGACAATATACAAAGTAAATACAGTTAAAATGTCGAAAATAAAACAAGTGTGTCTTGCAACATGTTCTACGATATTTCATCAACTAAATCTTTGATCTGGCCTGCT